GAGCCCTATATGCGGTAAACGACTTTTTTGTTGATGTTTAATCATGAACAATTTTGAAGTTTAAAATTTTGATCATCTCACATACTGGTTAAAGGTCTAGTATTTCATATTTAATATTTTATAACGCTTGATTTTATGATATATAACATGATTTTATCCATTTACAGTTTTCCTTTTGTAAAATTTTCTAGATACGCCTGTGTTCTGTAATGTCCATATATGTTTTATTTGTAATTTTATGACGTAATTTTTTTGAATTGATTTGTATTGTATGACATTTTTTTTTATTATTTGTATATTTGTTTTTGTGCTTTTTTGTTTTGTGAATGCTTTGTCGATGTAGCTGTTTTGGCTTTTTGTACAATAAAGCTTTGTTTGTTAAAAAAAAAACGCAACGGAGAAAATTTTGGTCAAATTTAAAGTGTTATATTTTTGTTGTTTTAAGCCCTATTTTTATGATTTTTTTTAGCAAACTGTATATTATTATATCAACTTTAATTCGTAAACTAAGTTTTTTTATAAACTGTAGTATTTGGCATATTATACAGGGTTAATCGGGGGATTGGTTTTTTACCTTAACTTTAAAACACCCTGTGCAATAATATCGTGTGTAAATTTTCCTAAAATATATTTTTGCGGCCAGAACCATGACTCCCCTGCTGTGTTGGAACGAACCTGTAAATACTATTCATTTGTAGAGCATGTTTGTTATGAGCCTTTTAGGATAAACTTAAACAATTTATTATTTGTTTTGTATTGGAAGCTTAAATGTATTGCACTATAATCATTTTTGTGATATAATTAATTTTTGTATTGAAAAGAAATCCTTGTTTATATTAATACTCTTTTAATCTTTAATCTCTAGACGTCATTTACTAAAAATTGACATAAAACTAAATAAAATAAATTATTATAACATTGTCAAAAATTATTACATTTAGAATAATTGCTTAATGCGTCGAGATTCTCTCTATAATTAGAACCATAATAGGAATCCTTATACATTGTGTACTGTGAAGAAACTTTTTCATTTAATAAAACTACTAGATTGTTAGTGTTGCACAATATTAAAAATCACACCCTTAAGGTGCACCCGAAGTATGCGAATTCTACCTGTAGAAACAGTGATAATTATATCTTAGTTGGAGAAGGAATTGTTCCAACGCTCACCCTACTACGCACTACTCTTTATTCCCATTTCCTTTCTCACCTGGTCTCTGTTTTTGGTGCTCGCAATTTGCATACCGGTAACAACGAATCGTTCCCACACCGAGATGGGGATGACAATATTTAATTCAAGAGAAAGGGTGCACTTTTTAGGTGTGACTGACAAGATTTTGGCGAGGTGAAGCGAATATATGCAGATGAGCCAACCGTATTTTTTTATCGTAATTTATGGGTAGCGACCTTTCGGTTAAAGCTTTGGGCGGTTGTCTTTTTCGAATTTGTTTTGAGTTTGGATCGTTGTTTCGGCGAATGAAGTAGTCTCTGTTCAGATTTCGTTTGGCCTACATTAATTTTTTTAATGGGGTTCAAATGTAACTTACGGTTTTGTCGAAGTCTAAGTTTATGTGTAACAAATCTTATTTGTGCATTTATTGTTTTTGTGGTTTTTGTGTTAAGTGTTTTTTCAGGATGTCTATTTTTATAGGTAAGATACAGTGATGTTGCTTTTTTATCCATTTCTTAATACTTAATCTAAAAAAATATTAATATAACTCAGATGCAAAAAAACGGAACGGAGAAATTTTTGGTCAAATTTTAAAGTGTTATATTTTTGTTATTTTTAGCCCTATTTTTATGATTTTTTTAGCAAACTGTATATAATTATATCAACTTTAATTCGTAACCTCAGCTTTTTACGAACTTTAGTATTTGGCATATTATATAGGGTTAATCGAGGGGTTGTTTTTACCCCAATTTTAAAACACCCTGTGCAATAATTTGGTCTGTAAATTTTCCTAAAATATAATTTTACAGTTAGAACCATGACTCCTGAGCATTTTATTTTATGATTCATGTCAATACATGTTTTGGTTAATTTTTAAGAGCGAAATCAACTGATAACGATCAATTTGCAATTTTTTTAATTATCATTGCTTTTTGATGTAATTTTTTAATATGTGAACGAGATGGTTTTGGTGACTTTGTCGTAACTTCATATTACACTGCAATGGATACTCTATACTAAATTAAAAAAATTGGCGCCGGGAGGCACGTATAGCCGTCCATACTAAAATATGTTAATAAAAAGTTGGTAGGCAGTTCTTTTAGTTTCAAAGTAAAGGATTTTTTCCAATTTTGGTCCGCGGTTATTTCCCCTATCCGCCACCTGGGGTCGCGTCCGATGGGAGTTTGGAGTTCTCCACACGGATTTTCTCAAAAACGGACTACGGAAACACGGAATATCCAGAAACTGCGACTTTCACTGATTTTGATGTTATTACAAATTTTGTTGTAAATATTATTCCTAATCTTAAATTGAAAACCGGCGTTTCGCTAGCTACTGTAATTTTGAAGTTACGATTTTTTAAATTTTTAACCCCCTCCCATACCCCCTTACCAACCCCCCACCCCCACCAAAAACTAATGGCCAGATTCTCGGGTGCCACAGTATTTTTGTGCCAGATTTGGTTAAAATCGGTTTAGCGGTTTTTGAGTTATCGTGTTACAGACGGACAGATAGACAGACAGACAGACAGACACCATGAAAATATTTTGTTTTATGACCCAAATAACTCATTTTGAGTGAAATTAAAAAAAACTTTTCTTTGCCGATCTTAATAGCCTACCATACCTGTTGGTATGGTCGGCTAAAAAAGTAAAAAAACCAACGATACACAGTCCGGGTTTTAATAAACATTAATAACGCTAACATAACTAACGATATTAAAGAAAACATCTGTAATACTCAAGTATACAAACAGAAATAAATATGTAAAAAATACCCTAATACTTTGTGTTACCACCCTTGGCTGCTATAACTGCCTGTGCATGTCCGTTCATACTGTCAGTGAGGCTGCATATATCATATTGTGTTATGCTTTCCCATTCTTCTTTAAGAACCAATTCATTTAATAAAGCTGATACTGCTTCGCGACATCTAACCCTCCTGCCAAGCATTTGCCAAACGTCGAACATGATGGGCAGTTCATAGTAGTATATAGTTCACAATAATCACGAAAGCTGTTTTGTCACATTGAAAAATAACTTCAAAAAAGAAATGATAATTGAAAAAAATCCAAATTGTTGATGGCAAGCTCATATCACCCTTAAAAATTAACCAAGGCATGTATTGACATGATCCAAAAAACAAGATGCTCCGGAGACATGGTCTGACCGTAAAATTATAGGTACTTTAGGAAAATTTACAAACGAAATTATTGCACAGGGTGTTTTAAAATTAGGATAAAAACAACCCCTCGATAATATAATTAACCCTATCTAATATGCCAAATACTAAAGTTTATAAAAAACTGAGTTTACAAATAAAGGTGATATAATTATATACAGCTTGCTAAAATCATCATGCAAATAGAGCTAAAAATAACACTTTAAATTTGACTAAAAATTTTTATGTTGCGTTTTTTTTTGCATCTGAGTATGTAATTAGCAAATTACAAAATTTTTGTGCTTCTCGGCTAGGGTTTCCGAAACTGATGCTGTTTTTTAGAACCGGAAATTTCGGTACCATGCCTCTTAGGAACCGGGATATCCCGGTTTTCTTGGTGTTTTCGGTACTAGCCAATCTTTGTTCAATGATGGTGCAGTTTGGCAACCATTAAGCAAGGAATGGTTTTCGAAAATAAAATCTATAGAATTGAGTTTTGTAATGAAAATAATATCAAATATTATTAAGTAATATATTATGTGAAAATTGAAAAAAACGTGAACAAAAATGAACACCAGCGAAGGAAAAAAATATAAGTAACTTAAAATTTACATTAAACAACATAAACTAACTTAACTAAACTTAAAAAAAATATATTTTTTTGAGTTAAAAATGCAAATGTCTAGAAAAAGATAACTTTTTTTATTTAAGGGTTCTTGGCTTTTGATCAATATTAAACTTTTTCTGGGTTTAGGAAGTGTTTATTACATAACTTAATATTAATATTACCATAGAAGCACTTCAGTACAGAGAATACATTGAGCCGGCTATCACAATTTATTGAATTTTTTAAACTGCATGTGTTAATTATTGTGTCATGTGGGTGATATTATATGAGCATATTTTTAAGTTAAATGTTATGTGTTATCACTTGTTATAATAGAAAAATATATTAGATTGGTCTTGGTTGGTATTTTAACTTCAATAATTGCTAATAAACATTATAAGGGCTACAAAAGAAAAAAGAAGTACCTAAGCACAATAAGAAGTAGCGTCACTACTCACTGCCTATTTAGAAAATATTTTTCTTCTCTGTAGTAAGATCTCAGAAATAAAAGTGCGTCCATACTATCGTCACTCAAACGAGACCTAATCTTATTGCAAAGTAAACTAGCCGAAGAAAAATTCTTACATGATTGACGTTAGTTGCCGTTGTCGGAATTGTTAATGTAGACAAATAACGTGCACGATCTTCTTCTTTCTTAAACATTTTTCAAAATTAACAAACAGTAACACAAAACGATTTTTTAACTATTGTTACCCAGTCTCGAAAGTACCGAAAGAACCGGAAATCAATTCCCGATTCTTTTGAGGAAAAAGATAACTTATATTTTATAAGCAGTTTTTTGTTTTAGCAGCAAGCTTATATTTTTTGTTGAAAGAATGAACTTTCGAGAAAAGTATAGACATTATTTAAAAAACGAGTGTATATTTTTCAATATCCATTAAAACCGTCTAAATTTCGCCGTAATCTAATACGTTTTAATGCCCTACACCATCTCCCCTACTCCCTCTATCCCTCTACGTCACCCAGCTGAACGAGACACGTATAGCGAAAAACAAATTGAATCACGAAAACATTTCCATCAATCCATCTTATTTTTTCCAGCAGCAGCAGCAGGAGCGAGCGTCTTAGCCCTTCGCACCCCCGTGCCTATTTGCCATTTTGGCTTCAGAAAACGTCTCCCCTTTTTTACGACGTTGCCGGATGGTTGAAAGAGAGTGGTAATTGGAGGCATACATGAAGGAATTGAAGATAAACTTCTTAAGGTAAAGCTTATTAATTTCATATGGTTTCTTATATATACTTCCTAGGATCAAGTCGACAGTTACACTTTATCTTTATTGAATACCCATGATACCAAGAAAACAAAGTATGATTGATAGCGGCTCCAATTTCGTTCAATTTGCGCATATCACCTGTGACGTAACTACCCCATACAAAAATATCCATTGTTCAATTATTATTGCCAATAATAAAAAAGACCTATAATAAGGATGAATTACGATTTAACCTTAAAGGTTATGTCAAATCTCTGGTCAAATTATATATATGGTTCGACGATTTGGTGCCGATATCGATATCACCTGTAACGTATAGCGACCAACCTGCGCAATATCATACCTTCCTTTCTACAGATTTCAAATATTTTATACCTAATAAAGCTATTACTAATACATTTTTAGAGGTAACCATTTTTTTTATAAATGGTTAAAATCAGTCTAAAGCCAAGCCTACTATCTATTTCAAAAATCAAATCTTTAAAATGTCAACAATAGTGACTATAGCTTCCCCCTTCTATAAATTGAAAAATTTTAGGTAGTATTGACAGAGCTGCAATAAGTCATTTTGAAAAAGACTTCGTTAAGACTTAGTTATTTCTAAAATGATTTAAATCTTAAGTCTTTGTCTTAAATCCTTTTCTTCAAGTCAAGTCATTTTTGTAAAGACTTAAATCAACATAATTTAATTTAAGTCGTTTTAATGAGATAAGTCTATATTTTTGAGTTAAATCATGATAATCTACGAGTTAAGTCTGCAAAATGACTTAAATCAAAATAAGTCCAGACAGTCAAAATTTAATTGAAGTAACTATGTTTATTTACAAATGAGACTAAAACCACGTATACTTTTTATAAAATTTAACCATTTTTTTAGTACTTGATGTATCCACTACGGTTTAGATATTATAGAATACATGTCTATTAAAAAATGATGATATGTTTTGATACCTACTATGTAGTAATATCGATATAATAAGTAATGTATAGGGAAATTAAAATAACTTTGATTGCACATCATAATACGACCACCAGCAAACTCCATAAGACGACGCATGGTCTCATTGATGACGGGCATCGAAAGTTGTTTTAATTTCCCTTTAGAATATATTTTTAGATTTAAGCCTTTTTAATTGATTAAATTCGTTTTCTATTTTGGAATAAAGCTTTAAATCACAAATCATTTTGAAAATCCAATGACTTTAATCATTAAAATGATTTAATTAAAAAAAAAACTTAAGGTTCCTCTGAGTTTGCAGCTGTGCATATTTTTTAAATACATATCGCATAGATTAATCTGCTGTTATTCATTATACCTAAAACAGTTTATTTTTTTCTAAAAATCTAGTACACTGTTTTTGAATTTATAGTAAATGCAAATATTATTTTATTATTTATTTTCCGCCAAAACAACGAAAGATTTTCTTGCTATTGCTGGTTTATTGTATTTACAATACTAATACGTTCGTGACTATGTCCGCATCTAAAATACACGGAATACAAATTATTCCTGGTATATATTGAAGTTCATGTTAAGAAGTAGTAAATCTATATACTTAATATAAAATCTATTTGTCAAAATTGAAATGAATTAGTTATAAATAAATACAATGGAAGGGATGTTTCCGAAATTACTAGTGTTAGTGTTAATTCTGCATTATTTGTGTTTTCTAATGTAGCAGGTTCATTTATTTATCAATCTATAAACAAATAAATGAAAGTCACAATGAAAGAGTTAGTTACATCATTTACCTATAACTGAAGAATGGTGGACCGATTTTAATCTCTGATTTGTTGGATTCGCTTCGGTTTAAAATATTTAAGTCTTTTCTAAAAAGACTTAATAGAAAATTTAAGACTTAAAGAGACATAAGACTTAATGCAAGACTAAGGGAGTCTTAAGACTTAAAGACTCCCTTAGTTTTGCATTTTCTTTTCAATAAAAACCAGTTATTAATTGATTATTATTTTTATTAAATGAATTAATTTATGTAGAATTGATGACTTTAATTTTCAAATTTAAATATGGGACCATTTTTCTGAGGCTGATTTGGCAACAGGGCTCTTGGCAACGATGTCAGCGTCACATGTGCGCGCCATTGTTGGAACGCCGGGACGCTGTTAGGGATGAAAAACAGTGGGTGGGATGGGGTGGTAATAAGATGGACTGGAGGGGCGGTCTTGACGTGTTACGATAAGTGTGGTTTCGTTTTCGTGAATTCCCAAAAAGATAACAACATTAAATATTACTACATATAATAATAATAATATGTAGGCATATGTCTTTTTTAATAACTTAAAAGAAACTACTTCAAATATCAAACTACTCTAGGCGAGTTAAAAGGGTGCTAGTGTACCTGGACGAAATACACTTAGATGCTGCCATATAAGTATACTTATACATATGGATGCTCCACGCGTTTCAGTTGTACGCTGCTTCTATCGTATTAACTGTTTTATTCAGTAGCAAGGCTTTGTAATTTGTAACATCCAAGTAAGTGGAAGGAAGCCTACTTATATTAATTTTAGTAAAATAATACACCAATTTACAAAAATGTACCAAAACCCTTTACTATTAAACACTTCGCTAACTATGTTCAACATGTGAGCATCATAAGCAGAAAACTAAAACTAAACTAATATCTACAAATTGTTTTATCGTTTATATAGGCGCTCGGGGGTACTGATCAAGCGTGTCAAAACCAATAGAGCGTAACACTTAATTATCTAGATTAGAACAATAGAAACAGAGAATTAAAAGGAATTGGACCATTATCTCTGTTCATATTATCTTTACATTTATTTATTTTGATGCTCTTATATTATGCATCCTATTGCTTGTAATTTGAGATAAATTTTACATTATTGACATTTATGCAATAAACTTTATCAAAAATATGTTGAGCAACACAAGATATATCTGCTCTACCATATCTTAGCTGAAACATAATGTTCTTTAGATAGTTAATTTTGATCTCCTAGTTTGCCCAAAATATTTTTGATTACAATCTTTACATCAAATTTCATAAATAACCGACCTTTCCAGTGGAGGTGGAGTATCTTTAGGATTACCTAATAGTTGTTTTAATAACCCTATACACCAGTTTATAATTGACATTCTTAAAAATTATTTTTAAACCGCGGGATAAAATTAAAGGAGGATATCGTATGCAAAATTTTCTTTAATCAGCAAAGCGGATTTTACAGTGAAGTAACAATTCGAAATGTAGCGAAAGTATTATAAATTTCAATATATCATACAATATAGTTAATCCTTCACTCGATGCCCCATCCAATTCTATTGTAGCTGATTAAAATCCAGAAAAGTTCTGCGTTTCAGGCTGTGATTTATTCTTATCTTCTAGTAACAGATCCATCTCTTTAATTTCATTATCCTTTCTTCGGACTTACTGACAGTATTTACGGTGTCTTCTAAAAAAAAGATATCTGTCCCTAATTTATTTCTTCTCTAAATAAAAATAATGTATATGTCGTAGGTATAAAGCTAATTTACGCTAATAGTAATTTACTCAAGCATTTGTTACGTGCAATGGCTAGTTGCAAGTGACAATTAACACCGCCAGTTTACTATTGCTTAGATATAACTAATACATATAACTATACCATAGATAATGTTAACTGGATAAAAGCTTTCTTAAGATATAATTACAGTTACATGAATAGAATGAATAGAATTTTGAGTTTCTTTTGTAATACTTCTTGTTTTTTTTATAACTGGTTTCATACAATGTTTGAATTTGAAAATATTTCGTGAGAGTACTTGTAATTTTTGACTATTTTTGTCTATATATATATATATATATATATATATATATATATATATATATATATATATATATATATATATATATATATATATATATATATATATATATATATATATATAAGCATTAACTAATCAATTATTCAACTCATTAGCTAAGCATTAACTAATTAAGTGAGCCTGGTTATTTGGGTGTTAATGCATTGGTTAGCCTGGTTATTTGGAGGGTGTTAATGCATTGGTTAGCCTGGTTATTTGGGGGGTGTTAATGCATTGGTTAGGTGGTTATTTGGAGGGTGTTAATGCATTGGTTAGCCTGGTTATTTGGGGGGTGTTAATGCATTGGTTAGGGGTTATTTGGTGAGGTTGGTTGGTTTTTACTACCACTTGCTTTTGGTAAATCCTAGGTTTTACCGCATTTCGGACATTTACAGTAACATATATATATATCATTACTCTTGCTTTCGCTTTTTTGTATATATTGGCGAGGGTTTCTATATAAAGCATGTCTGTTTCTTGTTTTGTTGGGGCTTTTATTATTGCCTGATGATATATCGAATCGAAAGCCTTCTCGAAGTCTCTGGCTAGTGGAAGTTATTCTTTTGTTCGGTTAAAAGTTTTTCTTAGTGTATCTGTGTGATCAATTGTGCTGAAGCTGTTTTGTCGTCTGTTGTTTATTACTGAATATATTTGTTATTATACTAAGGGCTGGCAAAGGTTAGTCTTAGGTCGAGATTTCCGTATGTAAGAAGAGTACAATGCGTTTATAATGTCCTGAACAAAGAGAGAACAGTAAAAACGTTGCCAAGCGTATGAAATAAATCAAGAAACTGTGCACATCGCTAAGAGACGTGGAAGGGGATATATCAGATTTGTCGCAGTTGACCGGTCGACCCAATCAATACCTCTGTCAGTACTTAAAGTTCTAGGGAAATGTGTCATGCGTTCAGCTTCACGATTTAATTACGTCTCGTGATACTTAATTTGTTTATTTATTAACGAGTCGTTGTAATTTTTCCTATAGCTTGAATTTTTTTAAGTGCAAGTTAGAAACACTTGCATTTTTTGGTAAAAATAAATGGAATTGAGTGGGTGTTCGATAGTGGTCGCGCTATTAGAACTCTGAATTCAAAAATCGATATCTCGAAATCTATTAGAAATAATAGGTTGTAGTTTTTTCAAGAATTTTGTTAATATTTCTGCT